TTTTTTTTTTTTTTTTTTTTTTTTTGCTTTTTAGTCTTCCCTCCATATCGCCACTTTGGGCTGTAATGTCTGTTGCTTGAATATGCAGCAGCCTCCCAAATTACCTTCCTGTATAGCCTCACCTGGCTCATCTTTTACTTTGCTGTCAGACTCTACTTCCATACACAGATCTGATTGTCTAAGATGGGGTGGGGTGGGGGGGATTAACAGTCACCTTCCTACCTATGGTCATAGCACAAAGACCAAAAATCATCTGCAGCTTCCTCTTTGTAGCTCAGGAGATGACGTCAGACAGCTTGCTACTTTCTGTTCCAGACCAACACATCCCCGTCTCATGGTCCTTTCTGCCTCTTATCTGTATTGTGCCCATCTCCCAGTTGCCTTTGAATTAATACCCCAGGAGGATGTCTCCCCACCCAACTCCTCATCCCTAGACACTATCCCTAGACACTGTTTTGTATTGTTTTTGTAGTTCATGCTGGCTTTGAACTCACTGTGTTCACTAATGGTGATCCTTCTACCTCAGCCTCCTGAGTGCTGGGATTATAGACATGCATCACCACACCTAGCTCTCAATTTATGAGTGAAGTTGAGTCTCAACCTTCCTTCAAGAGATATATGTGTGATCCTTTAGGAGTCACTGACCTTTGAGGATGTGGCTGTGAGCTTCACCATGGAAGAGTGGGCTTTGCTGAGTCCATCTCAAAAAAAGCTGTTCAGAGATGTGATGGGGGAAACCTTTAGGAACATGGCTGCTATCGGTAAGATGATGTTTCTTTCTCATCTATACAACTAGAGAATTTTGTTTGTTATTCATCACTGCAGTTTCATTAAATAGAATGTGAAAACATTTTAAAGAACATCTCAGGCCTGGTTACATTATATTATGAATCTCATTGGAATCTATTAATTTTTATGTAATAGTGTAGTGACTCCTTGTATTTCTTTGTCTATAACTCAGGAAGAAACTGGGATAACAAGGAAGTTGAAGAAGAGTGCAATAATTACTGGAGAAATCTAAGGTAATTTCCACTCACAAGGAAAAGGATTGTTCCATAAGTGCATGTGATGGGGCTGGGGATTGAGCTCAGCGGTTCAGTGGCCTGCCTTGCAAGCGCAAGGACCTGAGTTCAATCCCCAGTACCAAAAAAAAAAAAAAAAAAAAAAAAAAAAAAAAAAAAAACTCTAAACATAAGAGCATGTGAGCAGAAATATGACAATAAAGGAAATGAGGCCATGTTTAAATGTATTTAATTGTACAAATTCTCCAAAAATCTATGTAGTTGAGTATGTATAATCGAACAAATACAGAAATACTCCAATATATGAAACTAAATTAGTACTTAAATCATGCAGCAAGTGACACTGTTATATGATGAAAAGAATGTTCTTGGGCTGGGGATTTAGCTCAGTGGTGCCACCACCTGCCTTGCAAGCAAAAGGACCCGAGTTCAGTCCCTGGTACCAAAAAAAAAAGACTGTTCTTTCATGATCAACGTCATGAATATGTACGAAATTACATTGAGGGGGTATTGCAAATAGATGTATATAAAAACAATAGAACTTGTGTTTTGGCAAGAAGTCATCTTCAGGATATCGAAGTGTGTACATATGAATATGAGGCATTCAATATAAAAAAATTGCTAGCCTTGAAGCATTAATCAAAGTGAAAGTGAATACTAGTATTATAATAATAAGTGTTTTCAAGCTATCATCCAGAGAATTCAGTCCTTTGATTTTAGGGAACCCTCCAAATCAATGGTGGAAATGTTACATACAACTGTTCTGATCAATAAACAAATTTCAAAAAGTAAAAATAAAACTTCTGTTTGATCCAGGCATACCCCCTTGGGTATATTCCCAAGAGTTAAAATCATCATATTATACTAATACATGCATACCCATACTCAAAACACGCCAGTTCATAATAGCTAAGCCCTGGAGTCAACCTACATTTCTATCAGTGGATGCATGGATAAAGAAAAATTTTGATAGGCTCAGTGTGATGGTGTGTTCTTGTCAACCCAGCACTCTGAGAAGCTGATTCAGGAGGATGGCAAGTTAATGCTCATCCTGAGTAACTAAATCATCAATGAGTATTTCTCAAAATAACTAAAAAAGCTGGAGATATAATTCAGTGCTAAGATCTGTGTTTAATTTCCAGCACTGAAAAGAAAAAGAAAATTTGCAATATAATCATCCAAAAAGATGAATATTATGTCATTTTCCAAAAGAATTGGATGGATCTTCAACCCATAAAGTTAAGTGAAATACATCAGGCACAGAATGTAATATATCACATGTTTTATATGAGAAACCAAAAATATAAATTAGGGAGTAAAATAAATGGGAGGTCATAGAAAAAGGAAAGGCTGGCTTTAAGAGATCACAAAGAAAAACAGGGTAAGAATAGAAGGGACAGAGTGATGGGGGAAAGTATGAAAAATATTCAATATGTGATATACATATGTACCAATTGCCCTAAATAAAACTAAAACTTTGGTATTGCAAAATACACCATTTAAAAATTCCCAAATAAAAACCACTCTTTTGGGGGTGGCTGTTTTGAAGCTATCCTCGAGTGCATTCATTCAATTCATTGTCACAATATCTTAGGCATCAAAAGAGAGCATGTTCTAGTAAATCATTAATATAGACACTCATTTTATTGTGACTGTGTTTATTTTTACAGAAATGAAGAGTTAGAGAAATACTATCAATATAAAGCTTGGAATCAATATAAAGAAATATTCCTTTGGACTACAGATGCTAATGTGGACATGAAACAAGCTGGTTTAAAACCAGTAGAAAGCCTTGCTTGTAGAAAGCCCCTGACTGAGGGTTTATCACTAAATGTTCCAATCAGAGCATACATTGCACAGAAGCCAGATGAGTATTTGGGATCTGAAGAAAAGCTGTATAAATGTAATGAAAATGCAAGAAAGTGTGGTAATCTCCAGTCCTTTCAGAAGCATGCAAGAACAAAGGCTGGAGAGAAACCCTGTGAATTTGATCAGTGTGGGAAATTCAGCTCTGATATTGGGGAAAAAACTTACCTTAGAGAGAAAACTTTTGTATATAAGAAAAATTTGAAAGACTCCAGAACAACCAGTGATATTCAAATCCATGAAAGAAATAACAGTGGGAGAAAATCCTATGTATGTAAGCAATGTGGAAAAGCTTTCAGTACACAAAGTTATTGTAAAATACATGAGAGGATTCATACTGGAGAGAAACCCTATCTATGTAAGCAGTGTGGGAAAGCTTTCAGTACACGTAGTGTTTGTCGAATACATGAAAGAAGTCACACTGGAGAGAAACCCTATGTATGTAAGCAGTGTGGGAAGGCTTTCAGTACACGGGGTTATTGTAAAATACATGAAAGAACTCACACTGGGGAGAAACCTTATGTATGTAAGCAGTGTGGGAAAGCTTTCAACACCCGTGATTATTGTCAAAGACATGAAAGAAGTCACACTGGGGAAAAACCTTATGTATGTAAAAAATGTGGGAAAGGTTTCAGCACACACAAAAATTGTAAAATACATGAAGTAAGTCACACTGGGGAAAAACCTTATGTATGTAAGCAATGTGGGAAAGCATTCAGTACGCCAGATTATTGTAGAATACATGAGAGAAGTCACACTGGGGAGAAACCATATGTATGTAAGGAATGTGGAAAAGCTTTCAGCAGAAACAGTCATTGTCAAATGCATGAAAGATCTCACACTGGGGAGAAACCCTATGTATGTAAACAATGTGGGAAAGCTTTCAGCACACATAGTGTTTGTCGAGTACATGAAAGAACTCACACTGGAGAGAAACCCTATGTATGTAAGCAATGTGGGAAAGCTTTTAGCAGTAACAGTCACTGTCGAACACATGAGAGAATTCATATAGGGGAGAAACCCTATGTGTGTGAGCAATGTGGGAGAGCGTTCAGGACATGTGATGCTATTCAAATACATGAAAGAACTCACACTGGGGAAAAACCCTATGTATGTGAGCAATGTGGGAAAGCTTTTATGACATGTGGTGGTATTCAAAAGCATAAAAAAAGTCACACTGGGGAGAAACCCTATGTATGTAAGCAATGTGGGAAAGCATTTAGATGGCACAATGAATGTAAAATACATGAAAGAATTCACACAGGGGAGAAACCCTATATATGTAAGCAGTGTGAAAAAGCTTTTAGATATCACCGTGACTGTCAAAGACATGAAAGAAATCACACTAAGGAAAAATCCTTTGTATGTATGCAATGTGGGAAGGCTTTCAGTACACAGGGTTATTGTAAGATACATGAAAGGACTCACACTGGGGAGAAACCCTATGTATGTAAGCAATGTGGGAAAGCTTTCAGCACACGTAATTATTGTCGAATACATGAAAGAACTCACACTGGGGAGAAACCCTATGTATGTAAGCAATGTGAAAAAGGATTTGCTACTAAGTCCTCATTACATAGACATGAAAAAACTCACTGCAGAGAAACTCTGTAAGCAATGTGGAAGTGCTTTAGCACACATATTGACAAATACATTAATACATGTATTTCATGCCAAATGCATGAAAGTCTCACTGGAGAGAAACTTCAAGCCTAGTTTGAAAGTCCTCTGAAAATTTCTCATGTAGTGGAGACCTGTAGAAATAAAACAAAATCTTTTATCAATATTTCTTCACAAGGGCTGCAGATTTGGCTCAGTGGTTCCACCACCTGCCTCACAAGCACAAGGGCGCAGGTTCAATCCCTGATACCAAAAAAATTTTTTTCACAAATTTTCCAAAAAAATGCAAATTCCCAATACAGATATCAGAAATTATATTGTGTGGTTTTCAGTAAATCACTTAATAGATTTTGTATCAATAATGTGTAATATACAAATATTGAGTTGACATAATTAGGTGTTTTTGTGTACCAGCTTAACACAATGTCTTTTGCATGGTGGATTGAAATATGTATATTTTTTATTCATTAATTTTATTGGTACATTTTAGGTATACAGTCACATACTGTGCCATTTTACTCAGGGAGAAAAACGAAGTCACAATGATCAGAATACCTGAAGCAAATGAGATGGCAGGAGGAAGAAGGCCAGCCTTTAAAACACACACACACACACACACACACACACACACACACACACACACAGAAAAAGGTATCTACAGGAAGGAGTATGCAGGTTATGGTAGATAGCTGATCAGAGTTGATGAAGTCCTTCCCATGGGTCTTTGAGTCCTACCAGCATGAAAATACAGAGGCCACATGCTTCCCTCCCTAAAATCAATTGATTTTTAGTTTGGTTTAGTACCTGTTGAGAAATATGGGCCTTGCATCTATCTTCTGCATGTGGCTAGCCAGTTTTCCCAGCTCTATTTACTAAAAGGACAGTCTTTCCTCCAACACAGATTTTTGCCCTCTTTGTCAAAGATTAGGTGGCTGAGTTTCTGAGGGCATCTTTTCCATTGAATCATGTGTCAGTTTTGTGTTAATACAATGCTGTTTGTTGTTGATGTTTAATCAGTGTAGCTGTTAGTATAACTTGTTAATTTGGATTATGATGCCTGCTATTTTGCTTTTTTTTTTTTAAAGGTCTCAGTATGTAGTCCAGGCCAGCAACAAACAGGAAGTGATCCTCCTGCCTCAGCATCTTGAAGGCTGGGATTACAGTTGTTTACCACCACACCCACCTTCCTGATTTGCTCTTTCGGCTAGGGTTGATTTTGCTTTTCTGGTCTCTTGCAGTTAAATATAAGTTTTATGATTGCTTTATGGCTACAACTTCATAAAGTCTAAACGTTCGTGTACCCTTCATGCTTTAGTTGTAGTTCATTCATGGGCAGCCACATCCGTTTTCCACTTGTCCTGTTTAGCCTCTTCTTCCTGTAGTAAAGGGGCTTGTTTATGGTGAGCACTAGACAGGATGCCACCAGGAAGCTATGTTCCCAGATATTTGGTGGGAAATGGAATAATCCAGTATACAAGGAGCCTATCTGAGAGGTATGGCCTCTGCTAGCTCATATCCTTGATGGTTTGGTCTTGGAACCCTGCCTATCTCATGGGGATATGGATCTCTCTAATCTATTTAATAAAGATAACTCCATTGGGAGGTCTCTTCAGTGTCGTCCTTATAGTTCTCAGATCACTATATTAAATGCATCCCCAAATGACTCAGGAACTCCACTAGAGCCTTGTTCCCTAAAGGAACCCAGTTTTAATCAGCCCTCTGATAATGCTCCTGACAGCCTTTTGGCCCACTGCCTGCATGCACACAGCTTTAAGCCCTGCAGGATGAATCAGAAGTGGTACTTCTTATTTATTTACTTCATAACTTGTCCTGCCTCCAAGGTTCCAGGCATGCAAGTTCTGGTTCATTTTCAGTTGCAGGTGTTCAGCACTACAAAGAATGGCTAGGCCAATTATTAGAGGACCCTAGTAAGTTTGAAGATGTGTTTCAAATTTTGATGCTTGCTTTTGACTTATTATGGCAAGATGTCCAATTCATTTTGGTACTTGCCGTACTTAGATGAAAGAGAATCCTACAAGAGGCTAGAACTATGGAAATGAGCAGTATGCTTTAAAAAGGGGAGGAAACTACCCTGGAGAGGTTTTTATAAAAACCTGCACTACACTTAATTCTGATGCCACTTTGATGCTTACAGGCCCAGAGGTTAGCCACTCTTGTGAACAGGTGATCTCTCGGACCTATGCAAGCAGACAGGACATTAGTGACCAGCCCTTCTAAAGCCCTAGGAAGATGTGGTTCACTGATAGAAGTAACTTTGTCCAAGAAGGACATCAAAAAGTAGATTGTGCAGTTCAGTTCACAATATGTCATTGAAGCAAAACTCCTTTTCTTAGAGACCTCTCTTGAGAAGGCAGAACTACTAGGTCTTAAATGGGCATTGATATTAGGAAAAGACAAAGTTTTTTTATCTATATAGACTTCAAATATGCCATCCTGGTGGTACATATCCGTGCAACAATCTGGAAGGAAAGGGGCTTACTAACAAGCAATCACCAAGCACAAGAAGGAAATTTTACAATGTCTAGATAGTCCATTTTCTCAAGCAGATCAGAGTGCACTGTAAGGGGTATTATAGAAATATGTCTGAAGTCTCCTTAGGTAATAAAAAAGCTGATAGTGACACAAAAAGGGAAGACTTACTACTCCTTAAGACTTTAAATAGTTTGAATAAGATTAAAGAAGGAGAAAGAAACCCCCCCGTTACTTTTGCTGTTTTCCACTGCCATGAACTATTGCCCCACTGCCATGTGCAACTCTGCCTTAGAGCCAGCTGATGATGGACTGATACTTCTACAAACTGTGAGCTACATAAACCTTTCTCCTTTAACTTTGGTGGTTACATATTTTGTCTCAGCAACAAGAAAAGTAACTAAGACCGCCCCTTTTCAGTGATCCTTGCAATAAAGCCATTAGAGATAAATAACTGGATCTATCTTTGTAGAATAAAGCCAGTTCCATCTAAACTGTCTGAACAAAAAGACCACCCAAATGTTTCAGACAGTTTTGATGGAACAACATAGCTACTCCTGTGGGCCTCCAGGAGACTTGAGATTTCTCTTCACAAAGCAAAACTCCAATGCTGCTACAGATAATAAAATAGGATCTTGCTAAGGCCGTGTCTCTCAAACTTGATAATTTATCTGACATTCCTCTCTGACAACATTCTTCTCTAAAGGAGGTGTGGAAATCTGACCTGCCCCATATTTGGCTAACAATGAAGGTTCTTTCTCCCTTCAAACACGTAGCTCAATGGTCACTGATTATTTTTTCCTTGTCTTCTAACAAATTTTTTTTTTCTTCAAAGTAGGCAGTGAGTCACAATATCCCAACTTAGCACATAATCCCTGGTATATAGGGACTACAGCCCCTTCCAGCCAGAAGAAACAACAAAAGACAAAGATCTCCATTTTTTAGCACCCTTTAAAGAATTATGGGAATTTATGTCTTTCAGGGGGAAGGGAGATAAGGGCAGGGCTTAAATTGGCTGGGAAGGGAGGTATAGCAAGACCCCTAGACAACCTGTGCAGAATCAGCTCTCCATGCCCTACATGTGGGCTTCTCATGAGAATTTGAGTGGGCTCCCAATGGAATGATAAAACTGTGGTTTAAGTGTAAGAAAATATGATTCAGTGCCATCCCTATTGAAATCCCAACAGTATATCTCACAGAACTGGAGAAAAATTAAAAAAATTATTTGAAACAATAAGAGACCTAGAACAGTAAAAGCCATTCTAGGCAACAGAGACATGGCAAGGGGTATCGCAACACCTAACTTGAAACTATACTATAAAGCCACTGTTATAAAAACAGCATGATACTGTCAAACAGATCTAAGGACCAGTGGAGTAGATTAGAAGATGCAGAAACAACTACAGACATATTCAGCTACTTCATCTTTGACAAAGGAGCCAAGCATCCTCACTGGAGGAAAGATAGCCTCTTTAATAAGTGGTGTTGGATAAACTGGATTTCAACTTGCCAAAGGTTAGAACTAGACCCATATCTTTTACCATGCACAAAACTAAAATCCAAGTGGATTAAAGATCTTAATATTAAAACAGAAACACTAAACTTGCTGGAAGATAGGTAGAACCCTTAAAGACATTGGCATAGGATAAGACTTTATGAACAAATCCTCAGTAGCACAGGAACTTGCACAGTCAACAACTGGGAATCATATAATGTGAAATAGGAAGAAAAGGGCTAAAGGTGTAGGGGAAGTGGGAAAGGTAGGGGAAAGGAAATAAGGGACAAGAGAAAATATGAGAAAAGGAAAAATGGAAACGAAGTCTTTGTAAATAGGGAAGGGTGGAGGGGGTGAAGGGAGAGAAGGGGTGTGGGGAAAAAATGAGAATCAAGATCAGTCATGTGAGGGTAGGAGATCCCAATGATGAATGTAACTGTACTGTAAACTTAAAAAATACCAATAAACTCAGTAAGATAAACAGAATCATCCTATTAAAAAGCTTCTGCAAAAAAAAAAAATGGAAAGTAAGTCTTTGTAAATAGGGAAGGGTGAAGGGAGGGCAGAGGTATGGGACATAACATGTAAAGGTGCAAGATCCCACTGATAAATGTAACTGTTGTTTGCTTTAAATGTACCAATAAACAATGGAGAAATTAAAAAAAAGTTTTTGTAGTGCAAGAGAAGCTACAACAGACTAAGAGACAACCTAAAATGGGAGGGGGGATTTACCAGCTGTTTCTCAGACAAAGGTCTACTGTCTAAAATATATTTTAAAAACTCAAAAAAATCAGACCTCCCCAAATACAAAGATCCAATTCAAAAATGGGCGTCTGAAATAGACATTTATCAGATGAAGTAAATAAACATGAAAAAGAATGTTCAATATTGCTGGTCATTTGAGAGATTCAGAATGAAAACACTGAGATTCCACTTCATCCCAAAAAATATCATGAAATCAACCAATAATAAATGCTGGCAGGGTTATGGGGAGAAAGGAACCCTTCGCCATTGTTGGTGAAAGGACAGTGGTGCAACCACTGTGGAAATCAATATGGAGATACGTCAAACAACTAGGATTAGAAGTCCCATTTGACCCAGCTATTCCTCTGCTGGATATCTTCCCAAAAGAATTAAAAGAATCGTACCATAGTGATATATGTAAGCCCATGTTCATAACAGCACAATTCATGGTAGCTAAAACTTGGAAGTAGCCCAGTTGTCCATCAACAGGAGACTGGATAAAGAAAATGTTTCTTTGTTTTTTGGGGGTTTTGTTTGTTTGTTTGTTTGTTTGTTTTTTAAATGGAGTACTACTCAGCCATAAA